ACTGTTACCATCTACCATCTTTCTGGAAGGCAACTGTGCAAAAAGTACCAAGTGCTTTAAAATTATGTCTGTACTTGGATGTAACACATTCACTTCCCAGGAAAATAAAGATAGTTGCAGGTATTTATTTATAAGGCTGTTTGTTACAGCATTATGACAGTGAAAATTAGTAACAATCTAAATGTCTAATAGAGAACTAAGTAAAACAATGATGACAAATGCATGTACTTTAACTATTGTCTTAAGGTGTCATTGAAATAAAGATGTTCACAATTGATTAGTTTAAAAAGCAGTGTCACTGCATTTTTAATTAATTAATTAATTAATTAAGGTATCATTGATATACAATCTTATGAAGGTTTCACATGAGCAACATTGTGGTTTCAACATTCACATATATTATCAAGTCCCCTCCCCAACCCAATGCAGTAACTGTCTATCAGTGTAGTAAGAATGGCACTTTTATTTTTTAAAAATACATCAAATATAAATGTTTGGAAGTATGTACCTTTAAAATGTTCACTGTAGTTATCTCTTAGTAGTGGGATAACAGAGGATTTATAATTTCCTGCTTTTTTAAATCTGTATTTTCTATAATTACCCTGTATGTGTATGATAGAAAAAAATTACTGACATCAGCTTAAGTGTAATAGCTTTAACATATTTTCACTTTATTTTCTTATCATACGTACTTTAGTGGCACCCAGTTGCTATGTTGCTGCTGTGTCTGTCTTGCACAGTCAAAATGTGGCAAACAGAAGAACAAAAGAATCAAAAGGACATACTGATTACTAATTAGACCTGATCTGGAATGACTCAAACTCTACTGTAGGGCAGTCTTTGCCCGTCAGAACCGGTTTAGTTAGGAGCTTGTGTCAGGGGTTATAGTCAATCCAAGTTCTCAACTAGAATACCATCAGATCCAGACTTGAGAGCACTGTTGAAACAATCTTGGCTAAGAAATATGAACATCTTTCAGTAGTGTATTTATACAAACAACTAGGGTGAAGAATTAGTATAAACACTGAAACTTAAAAGAAAAATGGTACATTTTTATAAAGAGAGGTCCTAATTCTGAGAGCTCCTCAGAAACAGTAAAACTGTTGAATTAATAAAATATATGCATATAAACCTCTTAACCAAAGTAAAGTTCTTTTTAGTTTAACCTTGGAGGGATGCAAGGAGTTTAAGGTTGGTTATGGCTCATTCTTTTTTTGAATCATGGACTGTTTAGAGAATTTAACAAAATTTAGATCTACTTTGCAGAAAAATGTATAAATGAATCAAAGACAAGAATATGTACTCAATTTCCTAGGGCTTAAGGCCCTCCTCATAATTATTCATGGATAGATCCATATGCTAATTAAGAATCCTGCTTTAGAAGATTAAATACAATTTATCTCATATTTTTACCAAACATACACAAAGGTTTTAACCACATTTATAAACTATTTCTTCCCCTTAAACTGTTTAATGTATCTAAATGAAGCCAGAAGAGTGCCTAAGATTATGACCAAAGGGATATCAACTTTTATTAACTAGTCTACTATAAACTAAAAAATGGTAAGTTACCAACAGAGTAACAGCCTGATTCTCAGAAAGAATGACTTAAAAATTATTTTTGTAAAACCTACACCAATGATATTAGTATAATACTAGTAACTATTCAGCAAGCTGAAAGAGGCAGGGCAATTCAAAGAGCAGCAGAATATGCCACCCCAATTATACCACTGTGGCATGTGGACTATTTTGAGCTGAAGGCAACTAAGAAGAAGCTACAAAAGAAAAGCTCCCTCCTCTCCCCCTTTTTGCCTAAAAGCAGGACCACTTAATAAAAGTTTCTACAGCAGGAAGGACAAAGATTAATCTCTGGAGACAATTTCTGTCCCTTTGAATGAAAAGCAAGGACTACTTAAATCTGCGTAACAAAACCTCTTGTTTACCGTGTTTTTACTGTAACCTTCCCATAACCAGTCTCCCCTCCACATTTCTTTCTTTTGACTTTAGCTGAAGATGGTATTTAAGCCAGAATTCTAAGCCACCTCTGAGAGTTACTCATTTTTCTCCCTGGGCATCTCCCTTTATACAGGAGTATACATGTTAATAGACTTCTGTTTGTTTTCTTCTTGTTAATCTCCTTTGTTACATGGGTGTCAGTCAAGAACTCAGAAGAATAGAGAGAAAATAATCTTTCCTCCCCTAAAACAATTACTGCCAAATAGGAAATATTTGCCTTTCCATTGGCAAAAAGTATCATTTCTATTTACTAGTTACATGATATGTAACAGCTCATTGATACCTGGAGAACTGTGGCCTCTGCACAGCCAATGTCTGAAGACTGCCCGAATTCCCAAAGGGAAGTTAGACCTATCATCCTATCTTCTGTGTCCAAGTTGTGGGCAGAGAGAAGGAATGTAACTTGTTTATAGAACTGACTAAAATGGAGTCAGTTACATCAAGGATGAAATGGAGATTGTCAATGCAGGTGCATAAAGGAAACATCCTAACCTTACAGGAATTTACAGCTCCTCTCAGAAATCAGTAGAGGACACCAGTCAATCCGCAAACAGCAACTGTTCACACTATTTCTGGATTTCCTTGTTCCCCTGACTCAGCTACCCTTATTCAAACAAGAAAGAAAATAAGTAGGCAACCAATCAGTTTCAAGAAACAAGTAACTCCCACTCTTATCCCATAAAAGCCCAAAGTCTGTGAGTAACTTGGAACTCATTGCCTCCATAGTCTTGAGTTTTCTGGCTTGCAGTTTGAAACCCTTGCAATAAACTCATCTTTCTGCTTTGTTTTATTCAGTGTGTACAGCTTGGTTTTTGAGAAATTTTTTGGTTATGTCTTTTTAAGGTCTGGATACAAAGCAAATCAAAAGGGTAAAAATGACCAAGATTATTCCAAATCATAGGTGGTCACAATCTGCTGCTGGAATAAATTCCTAACAATCAGGAGAAGGGGTCTAAGCTTCCTGAGGGCCAAGACTTTGCTATTCTTCTGTTTATTCCACACGATATTTTATCTGACAAAAAGTAGAAAATAAACAGGTCTGTAGAACTGAATCAACACTGGATATGGATCTCAAGTGACTGTATCAGTGCTGGGTAATGCAGGTCTGATGTGGCATGAGACCCCTCTAAAATGACTTCTCAAGACATGAGTTTGAACTCAACTTTGTTGTCAGTAGTGTTAACTGAACCTAAGATTCTATGTCCATAGTATAGCTTCTCAGTTATACAATTCTTAGAGTTAATCATCCAATGACTGATTCTTTGCTTTAGAATAATGTATTTTATTTATAGTTAAGTTTTTCATCCTAAGATTATTTTAGGCAGTAAAGCTGATAGTAATATTAATTTGCATTCCCTAAGCAAACATCAACTGTGATGGCAGAGACAGAAAAACCTTACTGGATTAAAAATGTGTCATATAAATAAAACATTAATCATCTTTTACACAACACTCTAGCTGAAAAAGGGTAGTTAGTGTCCCTTATTTATTAGTACAACACTAAATTCTTTGTTATTCCTTCCAGCCATTCAGTAAGCCCTCACTAAATATTAGCTATTATTTTTCCTAGCTATATGAAACCTAAAATGTTCAGGATGGCATATTGTTCTTTATTTAGCCCACTCTATTATTCCCTTTCCTATCCTAATCCACACTCCTCATTTTCATCAAGCTTCAAGACTGATTAAATGGATCTTCTGATTCAGAGGCTCAGTTTTATTCTATGAAGATGTGCAGTGGATTTTACAAAAGAAACAAGTAGCTGCTCAGTGGATTTCAGTGAAGTCCCTCCCAGTGTGAGCAGCAACCACTTCTTGCCTGCACACTCCCACCAAGATTCACCAGGCTTCATTCTTCTTTAGGTTCACTCCAGTTCTCCACTAGATGTTTGTCAAATTAATTGCTAATCATCTAAAACTCTCATCTAAAGCTTTCAATTAACCCTTCTGTCTCTGACCTGTATTCCCTTACCTCACAGAGAGTAAAAAAACTGACAATGTAAAAGCAAACAGACCAATATAATTGAAAAATACTGAGGGGACAAGAAAATGAAATCCTTGCTGGAATTTAATCAGCTTCTACAGACATTTCTAAGAAAAAAAAAAGACTTGGATTCAAAAGGGCAGTTTTAATAATGGTTATGCAAGAAAGAAGAAAATCACTCTACTCCAACCTGGTCTTTGAAAGAATTATCCAGGGATTAAAGAACACTGCAAATTAACTGTTTCCTTTTCCTCTTTAAAATCAAACCAAAACAAAATTTATTCAACAGATTCTTATCTGTTGTCTATATGTAGACAGAAAAAGGGTATCTCTAGATCATTACCTGAAAATCACTTTTCCATTTAGTGCAGATAACTGGTAGCAATACAATTATTTTTATTTCAGCAGTTTATTTTAGTTATTCTTCTAAGTTATTTAGTGTAGAAATAAGTAAATTTTTTAAAGTTGCAGTCAAACAATTAACTGCAGTTTAACTAGCTTAGCTGGTTTGCCTCTGCCACCCCATGCCTAAAAACTCCAAGGAGACAAGGTGGTGACAGGTATAAAAGATGAGGTTGAAGCCCCTAAAGGTCTATTCTCTTCCTTGTTCACACCCCAGAGCAGCTCCCTTTCAAACAAATCTCCTAATTTCAAAGTGCTTTCATCAACTTCTTCAACTAAATCAAGACCCACTGAACAGAAGTAGAGAAAAGATGGGCTGAATCAAAATAAAAGGTTCAATAGCCACAACAGTCATGACTGTATGCTAAAAAAAAGTCATGAGATGACCTTAAAGTTCTTAGTGTTGCTATCCAAATTTCTTCCTCCTCTCCTAAAAATCCATAAATTTCACCTTTTTAAATAAGAAAACAGGTTTATAAGAGTTCAGGGCAGACAGATTCCCCAGGAAAATAAAAAAATATTAGCTTTGGAAAGAAAAGATTTCTGGGAGGTGTGGAGATATGTGACAGGCATACGAAGGAGAAAACCAAAATAAATACCTGGCTGTTGATGTTAACATCAATGTTGGAACGAGGGGATGGCAATGGACTGGCTTCCATCTCAAGGTGTTTGAGCTTCTCTGCAGCATCATTTAATGCTGAAAAAAAAAAAAGGCAAAACAACTCCTTACATTGCCACCCTGTCATAGCTGTGTGAGGGTACAGACTTAAGACTCCCCCCAACACTGGGTTTATCATGAATTAAAGGTAATAATTCAGATGACCAGAGAATAAATGTATTTTCTTTCTATAACCAGATAACTCCATTAATTTAAGAGTTAACCTAAAGAACACTGTTCCATATCTGCACTGCTCTCGAAAGCCACTGACTCTGGGATCTCAGTAGCATGTGTGATTAAAAGGATTACCAACCAAAAGACGCTAAGAAAAGGCAGAGAACACCTGTGACACGATCCTTTCTTCTGTATCTACAACCCAAGTTCCTCCTGCTGACCCTCAGTACTTTGCCATTGTCTTTACTTGGCCCTGACTATACACTGCCTAAAACCAAACTTAGGTGAAGCCAACTGATGAAGGACATATAGTCATTTGTTCACAGATTTAACATATTAGATACTGGTAGCATCAGGTGCGAAGCAGGACAAGCATTTGGTCTTTATTATGTTCCCCCTAGCTGCAAAATGCATGTAAGTAAAATCCTCTGAAAACAATTCAGCTTTAAATGAAATCCATTTGAATTTATCACTCTGCAATGATCTTATTTTGCAGGGATTAACTTGGTATGAGTTTGAATTTTTACACTGTCACTTCACAAAAAAGCTGTTGAATGCCTAGTAATTTCTATATAATCAGGTAGGAAAGGGAGGGAAAAACTGAAATCTTTTCTTCCTGGTCAAAGGAATCTTCTAAGTGTCCATTAATTAACTCAGTGGATCTCTCACTTTATACATTAGAATGAGATGTGGAGCTTTTAAGAATTACTGATATTCCCAGAGCTGACTTAGAACAATGGTGTCAGGATTTCTGGAGGCAGTTATTTTGTGGCACTGGTAATTTTTAAGACTCTCCAGGTGATTATAATGTACAACCAAAGCTGAGAATCACTAACTCGTGACTGATCTTCTCAAGATCTTCTATATTCATGTATTAATGCCATCTCCTGTTTTCTTATGCCTCAAATTATTTGATACTAAATTTTAACACGATACTACTGTTGAAACCACAAATGCTTTAGCTTATGCTGATAAATTAATACGGTTGGATTTCTGGGGTTTTTTTGTTGAAATAAAGCTTGTGGATAAAGTGAAGGCTCCTATGGCCATGATTTTGCTTAAATACCTTGTAAGGAGGGGCTTACTCACTGTAAGGTGTCTATTTGTAATACATGGCAGAAACATTTAAAAAGTCTTCCCTATAGTAGTTCCAGGTCTGCTTCCCTGTACTTTCAAACTGCTGATACAAGATTCACCAGTAAAGTACCATAAAAAAATTCTTTGATATACTAGGTTTTCAAATATTTAAAGTTATTGTATCTCATTTGATCTTTTCTAGGCATTCCTAGTTCATTCTACCATGTTCCCCCAAACCAATACAACTTCCCAGAAACTAAGTACTAAATTAATGTTGTTTGCTAAAACAACACTTTTGTAGCACTGAAGGAATCTAAAAAGAACTTTTGAATTCATATAATGGACATTAAATAGAATGTAAATAAAACCAATGCTGCCATCTCTATATAGGAGATTATTATTTTAACTCTGGAAATACTCCATATTAAGCTAGTCCTGCTTCTGACTAAATCCAAGTCCTGATGGCTTTGGTTTGTTATATCTCACATTTTTCAAGTGACAAAAAATAATTTCTAGCAAGAGGCAGAGTCCAGGCCAGGGCTGTAAAAACTGGAAACTAATGAAAAGAAATTATTGCAAAGAAAGTACATGAGAAATAGTAATAGAGGATGTTTTCTTAATCTAATAACTGACTACTACCTTTAAATTATCAGATTAGAAGATTATTCTGAAACCACCAATGTAATAAATCAGTTGATTTTTGTTTCCTGACCTCAGATTCCAAGTACAAGTTAAACATAAGAGATGGCAAGTAAAAACATAGCCATGATATATCAGAACGTTTGCTTACTTGTGTATTTTAGTGGTTACTTAAAAACAAAAGAACATATATTTAATGACAATTACTAGTAGTATTTGAACCACGAGCACTATGTAAATTTTCATTCCCACCTCCCATTTCTAAATTATTACATGCTATTGGCGTATTCTTCACTCTTCAGAGACAACAGCATACTCACTAGCAATTTCCTATGAACTGCTTAAAGACGTCTAATTTTAACAATACAAATCAAAATTGGCAAGGCCACATACACGAGTTGCTTTTAAATGAACACACACTACAATGAGATTCAACAGGAAGTTAGTAATTGTTTAAGGACAGTTTACGCTTTAAAATCAAACCAAACTCACAAATAATAGACATTTTCAATGTACAATTTAATGTTTCCTCTTTTTTAAAAAAGTTAAGGAAAACCGTATTCTTTCTGGATTATTTAGTTTTGTGCACTGTTTTGCTCAGGCAAAAACAGTCCCAACAACAAATATTAATAACAAAATACTTTCTAGGAGCTTCTGGGGAAAATGGAAGTTCCTATGGCAAGGATCCTCACCTGACACTAAACTAGTTGATGTAATTGGCCTGCTGCTAGGCTAATGCTTCTACACTGTAGGCAATAAGCTATTATTGACTGAGATATAAAGAGCTCCACCCAGTGCTCTGGATGGAAGCAGAGACAGAGATGGATTACCAACCTGCAGACTGCTGAATGCAGACACGATGCTAGTGCTCAATCTACTGCTGTGAGAATAAAGCCAGGTACAAACCCTTTTACCTGAATAACATTCTGTTGTCATTTCTCAAACTCCTGAAATCATAGTAAACTTGCCTGGGGCTGAAACCCTCAAGCAAGACAGAGCTAATGGAATGTCCAAACATTACATCCTGTGCCCTAGAAAATATTTTTCCAAAAATTTTTTTAAATTAACATATTCCTAGAAAATCTTTAAAGAAAGTTTTTTCTCTTAAGTTTAACTCAATAAACCAAGTTAAAAAGAAAGTTTGAAAATTAATAAATGTTTAATGGCTTATAAATGAAACAAATGTTTACACGGTCTCAACTATGTCATGGTAAATATTTCAGTGGATCATTAAGCCAAAAATGGTAAGAAAGCCAACTATTCTACAATAAATTTTAAAATTCAAATATTGGAATAAGATTTTCTTCAAGCAACGGATTTAAATAATAGTTCATTTCTAAGGGGGGTAAAAAATAAAAAGGTGTCATCAATGTTGTTCAGAACAGTTACTTACTTTCATATTCAGCTTCAGGTCCTGCTAATCCAATTTGCCTGGTGGCTGGTACTTGGGATCTTTCCATAGTGTCAGATGCCCCAGTAACATCAATTGTTGTTGCCAGTAAGTTTGGACTATCTAGCAAATCAATATTCAGAGGCAAGCTGGAGAGGTAACAGAAGTTACTTAGATCAAGAAATTTATTATGAAAAGAATTTAAAATACTAGCAAAAATCTTTGTTGGGAAAAACAATCCATGTAAGAGTTTGTATCCCAAATGGCTTATTCATCTTTCAAAACCCTTTGGGCAGTCTTCTCTTCAGGCCAAGAGGGAGTAAAAGGGACTGGATTTATCTTCCTCTTTAAATAATTTAAGGGGGGAAAATAAACTATTTTCAAGACATCAGGCATTGGACAACAAAGGACAGTGATTCTGACATTTGGGTAGCAAATTAGGTGAGGCATATGTTGCTTTGACAGAAATTCCATGCCATGGCACAAAGAGGGGGAAATGAGGAAGCGCATAGAGAGCTCTTTCAGTTCAGAAGATGAGGCTGAGAGGCCAGGGAGACCAAGGCCACTAGAGGTCACAGGGCACAGTTATCAACAAGAGAGGCACCACTTCAAGGAGAGAATGTTGGAGTCCACAGAGGGCCACCCCAAGTGGTGAGGCAAATACTAATCAGAGAATGTGTGTGAGCAAACTCCCTGAGGTGTGGAAAGAATCAACCAAAAAGATTTCCTTCCATCTGGCTGGGGGAAGAACTAGCAGCACTCACACTGGGCCACAGTGCCTGTTTCCCCAGACAGACTATGAAAACATGTAATTCACAGGGTATTGAATATTCAGAAAGGTCTTGCCTTAGTAGTGGAGAAGAATTAAAGCAGACTAAGAATGGCAATGTACCCACCTAACATATTATAAAATACCTGAAAATATCAAACTGTTTCCAAGTAATGTAACTGTGTTCCAAAACAAAATTCAAGAGGATTTAGAGGAATAAGCATTCAACAAAGTAAATTTCACAATGTGAGGCATCTACTCAAAGATTACCAGGAATGCAAAGTGGCAAAAAGGAAATTCCATACTAAAGAGAGTAATCAGTTAATAGAAACTGATGTTATAATTAGCAAGAAAGACATTAGAATAGTTATAATAACTACTCCATATGTAGAAAAGTTAAGCAGAGATATGGAAGATATAAAAAAGACCCAAATCAGGAGACTGGATTAAAGATGGCGGCATGAGAGGAGAGACAGAGGCTTCCTCCTAAAACTGGATACAATTAGAAAATTTAATTGGCACAACTAATCCTGAGAGAGCAGCAGGAAAGAGGATGGCGTCAGACTGCACACACCTGGAGAAAAGAGCAGACCTCACTGAGAGGGGTAACGTACCAGAGCTGTGGCTCCGCAGGACCCGAGACCCTCCCCCACCCCAGCTCACTGGCAGGAGGAAGAGAAACAGAGCAAGGAGGGAGTGGAAGGCTTGGGACTGCTGAACATCCAGCTCCAGAGATCTGCTCTGGGAACACAAACCTACATTTCATGGTGCTTTCATGAGACTCTCATGACTACCGGGTTGGAAAGTTAATACAGGCAGAGTTCCTGGGGAGACTGGGATTCCGGCTGCTTGTGGAAAGCAGGGATCCATATCCGGCTGCTCTGGGACAAAAGCTTGTATCTGTGTGCTCAGCCCACTGGCTCAGGCAGAGGAGACAAGCACAGCAGCCGGGAGGCGGGGAACAGTTCTTTCCTCCCTCCAGGCACCAGTACTGCTCCCCTGCAACCCCTGACATTGCTTCGGGGGCTGAGCAGCTCCAGAATAGAGCTTCTGGACACTAGAGGGCATCATATACAAACATGAAACGCCAAAGGAACCTTGTCCAGAGTAAAATTAATACAACTCCTGAGAAAGATTTAAATGATATGGACCTCGTACTCTTCCTGAAAAAAAAAAGACCCAAATCAAACTTCTAGAGATGAAAACTACCATATCTGAGATGAAAAATGTATCAGATGGGATTGACAGCAAACCAGAAATTAGTAAAGATACTGAACTTGAAGGCATAGCAATAGAAACTATACAAAATAAAACACACAGAGACGAAAGAATCTCACAAAATGAAAAGACTATCAGTTAGCTATGTAACAATCTCAAGCAGCCTATGTATGGATAACTGGAGTCCCAAAGTGGGGGTAGAACAGAACAAGTATTTAATGAAATAATGGCTGAAGTTTTCCAAAATTTGATGAAAACTATAAATCCAAAGATCCAAGAATCTCAAAATCTCTAAACCCAAGAAATATAAAACATAACAAAGCACATCATAATGATGCTGCTTAAAACCAATGATACAGGAGGAAAAACATGGCATAAGAACTGAGGCAAAAACCTCCTCCCAAAACCAAATATAACACAAAAATACAGCAAATACAATTAAACATGAAAGAGTAACCCGAAAGAGGACTGGAACAGACTGCCTATATCTTCAGGTAAAGAGAAGACCTCAAAGAAAAGGTAAAGTAGAAAAGCCAAGATCACCTTGAAAGCAAGCCCTCCCTCACCTCAGCTCATAGATGGGAGAAAGAGAAACACAATGGGGAGGGAGTAGAAACCCATGACTGTTAAACACCCACCCGTGGAGATCTGATCTGGAGGCATGAATCCACATTACATGGTGCTCTAGAGACTAGTGGGGTTGAAAAGCTAAGACACGCAGAATACTTGCGGAAACTGAGATTCCAGCCACTTGTGGAGAACAGGTACCCACAACTGGCCACTCTGGGAAAAAAGAAAGACAGGCACTTTGAAAGACTTCCCAACAGTGAGAGGGCTGCTAAAGGGGAAAGGATTACAAAGAACTTACTACTCAGGAGAAAAGACAGGTGAACAAAATCACCCCAGCACACTCAGTCCAGCAGGTTGGGAACTTTCAGGAGCTTCAGGTCCTCCATCTCCCTGGCTTGGCAACACAGTGCCAAGGCCCCGCCACCGTGATATGCAGCCTGCCGCTGCTTCATCCCAGCTGGCATCAGCCCACACCATTGTGCTAGACTGGTCAGAGGACAGCCCCACCTGTGGCAGCTACAGGGGCATAGCATAGAGGCTCCTCCCTATGCCCTCAGTCCAGTGGCCCTGGAAAGAGAAGCAGGCACTTGAGCCAGGAAGCAGGAAAGAACTCTTTCCTCTGAGCAGGCACCAGCGATGCCCACCTGCAACCTCCACCATTGCTCCAGGATCTGGACAGGTCCAGATAGTAGAGCTTCTGGACACCAGAGAGAGCCACCTACACAAAGTTGTTATTACACAGGAAACATTAGAAATATGAAATAGCAAAACAATCTTCTACAAACCACAATCCCTCAAACACCAGAAAGAAGGCTACATGAAACTGTGATCACCAATCATCCTGATAAAGATTTTAAAATAAAAATCATAAACTTGCTCATGGGCCTACAGAAAAATACTCAAGATCTCAGGTAGGACTTCAAAAAAGAGATAGAAACTTTGAAAAATACAGTATATGAAATAAAACATATAATGGAGGGATTTAAAAGCAGGTTAGATGAGGTGGAGGAGATGGTAAATGAAACAGAAATTAGAGAACAGGAATACAAAGAAGCTGAGGCACAGGGAGAAAAAAGGATCTCTAGGAATGTAAGAATAATAACAGAACTGTGCAACCAGTCCAAATGGAACAATATTCGTATTATACAGGTACCAGAAGAAAAAGAAAGAAAAATGGGTAGAAACTCTCTTTGAGGAAATAATTGCCGAAAACTTCCCAATCTGGGGAACACAGAAGTGCATAGATCTCCCAACACAAGGGACCATAGTGAGACAATACCAAGAAATATAATAGCTAAAAGGGCAAAAATCAAGGACAAGGACAGAGTATTAAAAGTAGCCAGAGAGAGAAAAAAATACCACATACAAAGGAAAACCCATCAGTATATCATCAGACTTCTCAGCAGAACTTATAGGCCAGAAAGGAGTGGCATGATACTTTTAATGCAATGAAAGAGAAGGGCCTCAAACCGAGAATACTCTACCCAGCAATATTATTTAAAATTGAAGCAGGTATCAAACAATTTGCAGATAAGCAAAAATTGAGGGAATTTGCTTCCCCCAAACTGTCTCTACAGTGTATTTTAGAGGGACTGCTATAGATGGAAGTGCTCCTAAGGCTAAATAGCTGTCATCAGAGAAAATAAAATCACAGGAAGCAGACCAATTAACTAATAAGCCATTGCAAAATTAAATAAACTACCCACAAAGTCAGTCAAGGGATACACAAAGAGTACAGAATATGGCACCTAATGTATATAGAGTGAAGAATGAAGAAAAAAAGGGAGGAATAAAACCCTTTAGATTATGTTTGAAATAGTATAATAAGCGAGTAAAGTTGGACTGTTACATAGCAAAGAAGCTGCCTTTGAACCTTTGGTAACCATGAATCTAAAGCCAGCATTGGCACTAGGTATATATCTATCGATAAGCACCCTAAATGAAGATGGACTAAATGCACCCATAAAAAGACAGAGAGCTACACAATGGATTAAAAAACAAGACCCATCTAGATGCTGCCTACAAGAGACATATTTCAGACCCAAAGACATACACAGACTAGAAGTGAAGGGATAGAAAAAGATACTTTGTGCAAATCATAGGGAGAAAAGAGCAGGAGTTGCATTACTTGTATCAGACAAAACAGATTTCAAAACAAAGGAAGTAAAAAGAGACAAAGGAGGAGGATATAACCATTATAGATATCTACCTGAATATGTGAAACAAATACTAACAGAATTAAAGGGGGAAATAGAATGCAATGCATTCAACATTAGGAGACTTCAACACACCACTCACTCCAAAGGACAGATCAACCAGACAGAAAATAAGCAAGGACACAAAGGCACTGAACAACACATTAGAACGGATGGACCTAACAGACATCTACAAAACACACCACACAAAACCAGAATGATACACATTCTTCTAAAGTGCACAGGAACATTTTTCAAGAATAGATCACATACTATGCCACAAAAAGAGCCTCAGCAAATTCAGAAAGATTGAAATTGTATTAACCACCATCTCAGACCACAAAGGTATGAAACTAGAAATAAATTATGCAAAGAAAACAAGTCCACAAACACATGG